TAACAATCTCACAACACATCAACAATATCCTTACTCAACCTTGGGTTCCCTATCACCAGCTTCCTTGTCCCCTTCTGCCTTCTGGCCCTTGTCACTGGACCACTGTACCTCGTTAGTCGCATTTGGTTTTACAGGGCTGTGGAAGTGGGTAAGTTTTAGAGGCTCAGGATATCCCACCCACTATCTGTCTGTCACTTTCTTGTACTGTGGTGGCTTGCATGTTTCTGTAATGCTGGAAGCTATGCCACCACTGTTTCCAATACCAGCAGGGTCCTCCATAGTGGATGGGTTTCAGCAGAGCTTCCAGACTAAGACAGACTAGGAAGAAAGGCCGGGTGATCTACTACTACCACTACCCATTGCCATCGAGTCGATTTTGACTTACAGCTACCCTACAGGACAGAGCAGAACTGCCATACAGTTTCCAAGGCCGTAATTTTTATGGAAGCAGACTGCTACATCTTTCTCCTGTGGAGCAGCTGGTGGGTTCAAACTGCCAACCTTCTGATTAGCAGCTGAGTGCTTAATCACTGCACCACCCAGGCTCCTTGCCTGGTGATCTACTTCTTCAAATTAGCCAATGAAAACCCTATGCATCACAACAGAATACTGTCCAATATAGTGCTGGAAGATAAGCCCCTTAGGTTGGAAACACTCAAAATACACAGTGGCCGCAACAATGGACTCAAATATAACGACTGGGAAGATGGAGCAGGACCAGGCAATGTTTTGTTCTGCTATACATGGAGTCACCGAGTCAGAGCCAAGTTGATGGCAACTAACAATGACAAGGAAATTTCATACATTAAAAAAAGCTGGAAATGATAAAGTGTAGTGAGGAAGGTGAACACATGAACGATATAATCTTGGCCATGCATGAGTTCTCCTTCTTGGTCTACGTGATTTTTTTTTTGCCTTGGGTAACAAAACACATGGAAGTATTGCTGGTTCCACAAAGCTTCCTGGTGTTCCTGAGCATGGTGTGCTACTTTATGAAGCTAGCGCAATTCCTGCACTACAGGGGCAGGGCCACAGTCCACACGAAGCCACTGAGCACTATGTTGGTGCAGCAGAGGCTATGAATGCCTCTCAAGAACCAAAAATACAACAGACAGGAGAGATGCTGTGGTGAAAGATTTAAGTTTTAAAGCAACTGTGGAAGATTCAAGAGACTTTAAGAACATACAAGCCTGATGCTTTGAAGAGAGTGGGTGAAGTAACTTCTGCTCCAAGTAGGGTTGCAGCATCTTCCCCATGAACTACAGAAGACTTCTGGGGAAGGTGGTCTTATTGCAAATTTCCAATCCTGATGAAACCAAATACCATCATGTTTATTTACTTCAGAAGATGAAAAAAAAAAGTGCCACACATAAAGCTTCCATAGATAATACTATTTTTAGCTGAAAATTGAGGGCGATATTAAACCAAAACCTCTCCTGGTATATGGTTCCAGAAGCCCCAGGACACTTAGATAACGCTGAAGAGCACACTGCCTGTTAAATGGTGTTCAAATCATATATGCAAAGAAGGAAAGTCTTTCATACAAGGCTTCTTTGACTAAAGATACTTCCGGAAAATCTTCTAACGTTTTCAGTTACAAATAATATGCGTGGTCCTTTGGCTTTTCAAAAGCCCATCATTTTAGGCTACACACCAGGGAGTCAGTGCAACCTTCACAGCACAGAAGCTGATGATAAAGTACTTCAGGCGGGTGCTCATAAGATGATATACCTCAATGAAGGATTTATGGAAGAGTTTTTATTAAGAAGGTATTTGATGTACTGATCAGGCTTGAAAAAAGTGTCATCATAAATGATGAATGAAATAGGGAAGAAATGGCTCCTGCGATTTTTCCTTTCAAGGTTTTGAGAAAGTGAATCTTTTATTTTGCTAAGGAGCCTGGATTAAGCAGTGTGGATAGCAAATATGTTGAAGAACTATTAACATCACTAATGAAGAGCAAACAACTAACAATTCTTCTTTTGCTCTTACTAACTACAGAGCTTACTACTAAAAACTCTTTCAAATTGGTGGTCATTATTGGTCTGAGGCAGGGGAGGGAGCTCCATTACTTGAATGCCAAATCTCTAAAATCTAGATCATGCAGACATACCGACTTTGTTGCAAGACAGTAGGATCATCACATGAATAGAAGCACTGTGTTAAAACACACAACAAAAGCTGAGTCTTATGTCAGGAGCTATAAGACCACAAGCCAACGGACGCCCTTTTTTTTTTTTTTCAATCCTACTGTTTGCAAGGAGTCCCTGGGTGGTTTAAACAAGTAATATGCTTGGCTGCTAATCAAAAGGTTGGACGTTCAAATCCACCCAAAGGTGTCTTGGAAGAAAGGCCTGGAGATCTATTTCTGAAAAATTAGCCATTGAAAATCCTATGGAGCACAGCTATATTCTGACATACATGGAGTTGCCACGAGTTGGAATCCACTTGACGGCAACTGGTATCGTTTGCAGAGACAGTTCATAGCTGTCTACTTTTGAAGTCTTGAGTGCCAAGGAGAAAACTGTCCATATTTCTTCAGTTCGGGCACTGGATGATCTCAGACATTTGTTGCTTCACTCCTGCCTTCACTCACTCACTCTTGCATACCCTCCCCCACCATCAAACAGCAACCATCCCATCCCCTCTGCTCACATCCCTCCTCTTGCTGCCAAACGCCTCTCATGAAACTCTTCACTGGGATGTAACCAACAAAAAGGCTTTGTTTATGGTATATTAAATATTAACTACATTCATTATGTATCTTCAAATATTATTTCACCACTTACTTTTATAACAATCTCACTGATGTGAGATGTTATTTTTGTCTGATACTGTGTAACATTTGTACTGACATGAACATGCCCACTGATGAGTTCAGGAAGAGTTAAATAATTAGGTACTTGATGTGTTACATGACAGATGTCCTCGGTAGATGTCCAGAGGATTTTTAAGCGTTTGAGTAATTGGTTGAAGTTCTTGGGTGACTTGAGACACCATTATTATTTTTTCCATTTAAAATAACAGAATATAGGGTTCTCAACCCCCAAATTCACTCTTCAACATGCTTTCAGGAACAAATTAGATGTGTGTAGCAAAGGGACCCTATGAACAAAAGTGCTTTGTAAACTACAAAGCATAATTTGCAGATCAATGTAAACTATTATCATTTTCAAGTAAAACCAGAGAGTAACAGAATTTCTCTGTGGCTGGAAGAGTCCTCCCAGGAATCATCTCATGCAACCTCCTCACTTGATGGATGAGGATGCAGACTGAGGCTCGGTCAGCGGGTCAGAAACGCAGGTCCTGCCACAGGGCTCTTTCTTCTCCCCTATGCCAATTCTACCTTTTAAAACACTAACAGTAACACCTTTACTAGGCCCTTTAAAACTTCTTAATAATGGGCAGTTACAATAAAAGGACTTTTCACCTAGCCTGGAACTTGGCATATAGTAGGGACTCAATAAACATTTGTTAGTGAAACTAGACATGTGGAGTTGAGTTGTTAAAGTTCATCCTGGTCACTTCTCTCTCGTGAAGAAACCCAACGACTTAGAATCACCTCCTGAAACAAAGCAAAACAAAAAGGCAACTGAAATTCAAAGACAGAAATGAAAGAATATCCCAGCATATAACATCTCCACAGAGAACCTCAAGAGGCAGATGAGGATTCCAGGGAGGGAGTACGACACTTCTGGTCTCTGGGGATGAGACATGGAGAGGCTGGTCAGGAAGGGCTCACAGGCTGCCTGGAAGAGAGTGGTGTCAGCTGGGTGATGGTGATGAAGCCCAGATTACATGCCCTTAAAGAAGCAGCAGGGAGGTAAGGGCCAGTGAGACACAGGATAGACTGTGTGCCCAGTGAGTCCGTGGGGAAAAGGTGAGAGGGAGGCTTACAGTGCCTGGGAAGGCTTTCTGTTCCAACGCAAGACAGTTTTCATTTCTTTTCTTGGAATATGTTCCGGATGATACAATATAAGGTACAGCCTTTGGGATGACATTGCTTTGTCTCTGAATTTACCCACCTGAACTTTAATTCTTTTCATACATTCTGGTGACTCCATTTCTTGGTCAGTCATGGTAGATGGTTTTATTAAATAGCACAGCATAAGTTCCTAGTGAGAAATGAAAAAAAATTTTTTTCCCCACATATTTAATGATAATAGTGCAAATGCAGGTGTGTGGGCAGGACAGGCAGGCAGCCTCCATTTCCTCTCCCAGTGTGCTCCCGGAAACATTGTGGAGAGGAAGCTCAAAAAGCCATTAGCTTCTCCCAGGAACATGACAACTATGGCTCGTGTTTGTGACTAAAGACCTGCCATTTAGTAATCACTGACATGACAAGAGAATGTAAATAAGATATGTTGATTATGAAGTTAAATATTTAAAATATGAACTATATGCTACAAGTCCCACAAAATGAGCATCAGGATACTACAAACAGTGCACTCACTACTTCCAATGATGAAGCGAGTTGCTACAGGTGAAAAACTAAAAACTTCACTGCCACTCAAGACCAGCCATCATCCGGCCCCGCCAGCCCTCTGGACTCACCTCCCCGCACGCCTCTAGCAGCAGTGGCAGAAAGAGCTGGAGGGCCCATCATCTGTTTACAGTTAACAAATTACTGACTGACAGAGAACACACCAAGGTTTCATTTTTAATAGTGGTGGTGTAGGATGGAATTCCCCTCGTCTCCTTGATGACAACAGGTTGTAGTAAAACACAGTCGGATGGACCTGGGTTTGAGTTGCAGTTCTGCATGTGAACTGCAGGGTCTGAGTCAGTCACTCAGCACCTCTGACCCTTCGAGTCCCCATCCTTAGGATGGCGATAATAAGATAATAACAGGCTGGTTATAAAGTTTAAGAGTTCCCGAGTGATACAAAATGATTAACACACTTGGCTGTTAACTGAAACGCTGGCAGTTTGTGTCTACCCAGAGGCTCCTCAGAAGAAAGGCCTGGTGGTCTACTTCCAAAATTCGGCCATTGAAAACCCTATGGAGTGCAGTTCTACTCTGACACGCACGGGGTTGCCATGAGTCAGAGTCGACTCCACAGCAACTGGTGGTATAAGGTTCCAATTAGAGAAAAAATGTATAGTGTTTAGCAATAATATGGAATCCCCTTCCTCTTTCTTCACGGGATCTGCAAACTTTCTAAAGAGATGTGTCCAGGTTTTGTCCCTTTGTGAATGTGTGCGTGAGAGCATGTTTGAGCATGTGCTGGCTGTACTTGCCAACTGCAACAGAAAACCTACAGCCAAGAAACGCCAGAGAAGTAACTTCAAAGCCAAGTAACTGGAGCTGAGCACCAGCTGTGGGCAGAACGGAACACTAAAGCACAGCATGAGGCAGGACAACTTGCAGCAAACAGGAGGGATGCAAAAGACCCCAATACTTCCAGAGCTTCACTGGCAGGGACACTGTGAAGTTTCTACAAATGACTTTTTTGATCTTGCCACATTACAACAAACAAACAAAACCCCCAGCCACTTAAGTGACACTTGAATGCCAAAGCTGATGCTTTGTTACCTTAGACACATTGACTGAAACCCTGCTTAGGGCAGCCAGCGACTTCCAACTGAAAGGTCTGCGAAGAGATCCTTCAAAACGGTCATCAATTAACTCGATAATGACGGAATAACTGGGAAACACACAAAGGGGCAGTTTAAAAATAAAAAGCATGAAATCAACCCGTTTAAGCAGAATATTGTTTGTTCTACCAAGAGCAAAGACAGATAAAATAAAATCTATGTCATCTGTTCCTAAATTCCCCTAGGGTACTATTGAGAAAATATTAACAAAAAACTCACACTTTAAGTTATAAACTTTCAGGCTGATTTCAACACTTACTTCAGAAGAGGAACATAAATATTCTTCCCCAACATGAAAGCTATAAATGCACTCCACTCCTTAGGAACTAGTGCTCATCGCTATTAGGATGAACCGTTACTATGCAGTAATCTAACCAAAAACCCATTACCATCAAGTTGATTCTGACTCATAGGGACCCTACACGACAGAGTAGAACTGCCCCATATGGCTTCCAAGGAGTGGCTGGTGGATTTGAACTGCCAACTTTTTGGTTAACAGCCAAGCTCTTAACCACTGTGCCACCAGGGCTCCAGGTAGTAATCTACTCAATGTTAAATACTAAAACACATATTATAGCCTACATATTGTCTTATATATAACAGACATTTAGTATCTATCCCAATCAAGCCCAGAAGAATATGACTTTGTTTCTATGGCACTAACAATACAATTAAAGGCCATAAAGTTTCTCCTGTTCCTTTAAGCCATTAACTTATATAAAAATCACTCCAAACCTTGCATGGTAAAATGCAGGGCCTTTCCGATACAGCACTGTTAAAAAAAAAAAAAAAAAAGGAAAAGAAAATGAGTAACCACTCAAATCAAAAGCTTACGTTATTACTTTAGTTTTTCCTTCTCTAAAGGGAAGCAAATACTCAATTACCTGTATGTGGATAATCTGCAATATGCTCTGTGGTTTATTTTTAAAACTAAAACTATTTTTTTCCCCAGAGGCAAAATGCAATTAGTAAAGCGAATCTGTTGCTAAAACCGTAACCTCTACCTCCGCCTCCACCTTACAAATGAATTCCAAAGTCAAGTACAAGGATTCCTGTCTTGCTTCTTGTCTTACACGATCCAGAGTGAGAGTGTGAAGTATAATGTGGATCAACATTTTTGTTACTCATTTCAAATCCATGTAATTTAAAGTGTCTGGGTGGCTACTACGGCCAGTTACTAGGATAGGTGTTTGTGCTAGAGATGAACAAGACTCATGCCTATTTTTAAGAAATTCAAAGTCAAGGGGGAAAAAAAGAAAAAAGAACCATATTCGCCATTAAGGATCAGTCTGCCATCTGACAGAGAAGGAGCGCATTCTGTGGAGGTCAAGAAGAGCCCCTTGGGGAAGGAGCCTGGGGCTGAGGATCTGCCACACAGGACCTGGAGCTGTGCTTGGGGGCCCTTTACATACATATCAGACTACTTGCTGTTGAGTCGACTCCAACTCATGGCGACCCCATGTGTGTCAGAGTAGAGTTGTGCTCCATAGGGTTTTTAATGGCCGATTTTTCCAGAAGTAGATCACCAGGACTTTCTTCTGAGGTACCTCTGAATGGATTTGAACCTCTGCAGCTGAGCACATTAACCATTTGCACCCTCTGTGGACTCCAGGGAACCCTTTGGAGTCACACAATTTGTGCATGGACTGGTTAGCTGCTCACCAAACCCACTTCTTCCTGCTCCAGGGCATGTGGCTAGACTGTTTCCCAAACTCCTAAGCAGCTGGGCGTGGCACGTGTCTGGTTCTGGCCAGTGCAAGGGGCAGAAGTGCCACGTGTCACTTCCAGGTTGGCCTGTAAAACTCTCCCACATGCAAAGACTGCTCATTTCTTTTTGAGGGTGACCAGGAAGTCTCCTGTGGAACACTGTAGAGCCACACAAAGCAGCTGGGCTCCTGAAGCACCTTTTGGAGGAGACACCCATTTTGGCCGTCACATGAACAAAAAGTGGACCTCTATTTTGTTAAGCCCTTGATACTTTGGGGATTATCTGTAACTACAGCTAGCACTTCCTTAACTAATACGCAATTACATCTGTAAGCTCTTAGCTGTCCCCTCTGCAAAGAGCCCAGGCAGGAGAGTTCAGGAAAAGCTTTGTTTCTCTTGAGGAATTGATATGCTGTTTCTTTTTAGGCATATCAATCCTGTAACTAATCAAGTTTTTCCCTTCTGGCTAAGGAAGCTCAGAGCCAAACGTGGAGCATGCGTTTAGTGCTGCAGAGGACCCCACGGACTACACTGGAACCCTTCACCTAGGCTTGTTTTTCCAGGAAATGTTTTCCATGGTCCCGTTTCCTTTTTATTGCTATATTTCCTATTTAAATTGTATTTAAGCTATTTGGCAAGTCAGCTCTAATTCACTGCATAAGGAGACAAATGTAAGTAAATATGCAAACATACACTCTTTAATTTTTTGAGATGCAATGCAGTGGAAGGAATCACCGTAGTGGAATGAAACCGAAACTCAGGAGTGTTGTTTCCCATCCAATCTCTACCACTCCGAGCTGTGTGACTTTAGGCAAGTTATTAACTTCTCTGAACCTCAGTTTTCAAAAGGATAAAACGAAGACATCAGGGAAAATTAAGTTCTTTTCTAGCCCCCAAATATCACTATCTATGATCGAATTACAGTTTTTAGTACAATATACACCTGGAATATTTATATAGTTTGAAAGCAGCTCATACTCACAAAGTCAGGTCATTTCTGAGGACTAATTATGCTAGAAAAGGACATCATGTTTGGTAAAGGGTCACCAAGGAAACCCTCAATGAGGTAGATGGACACAACAGCTGCACCAATGGACCCGAGCATACCAACAATCATAAGGATGGCACAAGACCGGGCAATGTTCTGTTCTATTATACATAAGGCTGCCATGAGTCAGAGCTGACTCAATGGTAGCTAACGACAACAAAATTCTGATGGTGGTATAGCTGAGAAGTTAAAAGCATGAACGTTGGCATCAGACAGACCTGAGCTCAAGTCTCAGCAGTGCCAAGACCATGTGACAACTTTCTGTGCTTCAATTTCTTTATTATGTAGACGTCTCGGTATAGTGTCTGGCATACAGTAAGTACTCAGGAAAAGTTATCCATAATAATAGTAATTATAATGATGACATGTACCCAGAGAAATGAAATGCCTCCCAAGTAGAAAGATGAAAACTTCAGAAGTCTGAGAAATATTGTGCATTTAAAAAATAAAGTTTGAAAGTACAGGAGCAAGAGGAAAGCTCTTCCTTACAAACAAATGTCAGCTAAGAGTTGTAGAAGAATGACAGAATTAGAAAATGGTGATTCGTGTAATCATCAATTCAGGCAACAATCATTGTGGGGAACCAGACAGTCACACGGTTTGAAAGTATCACCCTATAAATTACTTGTTAATTACAAAAGGAAAAATGTAATTTTATAATTGACATCTGACAGTGGCCACCTGAGCCAAATGATCAAACGTAGTAGCCCTAACAGTAGGACGCCTGATATCATGTCCCTCCTGACGTGGTGTGACGAGTTCTTACATCACCTGTGAGTGCTGGATAAGGATGAACATGAGTCTAATGATGAGAAAACCAGACATACCCAGAATGTGGGGCACCTACAAGACTCTTCAAAAAAGTCGTGTCATAAAAAACAAACAGACAAAAAGGCGGTGGTGGTGGTGGGGTGATTTTCGATTAAAAGAGACTGCAGTGGGTTGAGTGGTGGCCTCCCATATATGCCCGTCCTATCCCCTGGAACCTGTGAATGTGACCTTATTTGGAAAAAGGATCTTTGCAGATGTGAGTAAGTTCAGGATTGTGAGATGAGATCATCCTGGATTATCGAGGTGAGCCCTAAATCCAATGACAAGAGTCCTTATAAGAGAAAGGCAGAGGCGGATTTAGGAAAGGCAAAAGAGGAGGAGAATTTCAACAACAATTAAAAAAAAAAAAAAGGCAGCAGCAGTGTGACGATGGAGGCAGAGAGGAACGATGTGGCCTGTAGTGAAATGAGATCCTTTCTGAGGCCTTTTGCCTTGATTCTTTGGAAAAAATTTGAGAGATTTTTCCTCTAAACCCTAGTTTTCTACCCCAGAGGGTTTGTTACATCTCCTGGGTAAACTGTACACAACTTGGTTTGATACTTTTTGTCTGGTCCTGGGCTGTAGCCTGCTATGTGATTGGTATACACCTTGCAGGGACTGATCAATAGACTGTGCAAATGAAGCGTCTGTGGCCCACCGAGAGGAGATTGGTCAGTTTGTGGCCTCCTGCTGGGAGGGGCCGGGCCTTGAAATTGACAAGGAGTTGTGTATATAAGCAGCCAACCCCACAGAGGATTTTCAGACTGCAAGAAGCAGGAAGAGAAGCAGCAAGAAGCAGAAGGAAGAAAGGAAGAAGCAGAGAGAGAGGAAGCAAAGAACCTTCTAAAAGAGCTGTATCACAGTGTCATGGATTGGACTGTGTCCCCCCAAAATATATGTCAACTTGGCTAGGCCATGTTTCCCAGTATTGTGTGACTGTCCACCATTTTGTGATCCGATGTGATTTTCCTGTGTGTTGTAAATCCTACTTCTATGATGTTAATGAGGCAGGATTAGAGGCAGTTAAGTTAGTGAAGCAGGACTCAATCTACAACATTAGGTTGTGTCTTAAGTCAATCTCAATCTCGTTCGAGATATAAGAGAAGTGAGCAGAGAGATATGGGGACCTCATACCACCAAGGAACAAGAGCCAGGAAAATAGCGCGCCCTTTGGACTTGGGGTCCCTGCGCTGAGAAGCTCCTAGACTGGGGAAGACTGATGACAAGCACCCTTCCCCAGAGCTGACAGAGACAGAAAGCCTTCCACTGGAGCTGGCACCCTGAACTTGGACTTCTAGTCTCCTAGACTGTGAGACAATAAATTTCTCTTTGTTCAACCCATTTACTTGTGGTATTTCTGCTATAGCAGCACTAGATAACTAAGACATATGGGTCAAGGGCTGTAATAATGAATATGACAACAGGCCAGGTAGGGGCCCAGCAGCACAGCCAGTGGCGACAGGCCCACGAGGGGCCCAGCAGCAGAGCTGGCGGCAACAGATGGCAGGGCCAAGACGAGCCTGCCCTGAGGGGGCCGAGAGGAGCCTGTCCAGAGAGAGAGATAGGAGGCTTGAGAGCTATCCTGCACTGAAGAAGGAAGACTTTGCCAATATGCTTCCTAATCCTGTTTCCTGAGTTGTAGCCTGTTGATCCTAATTCTAAGTTGTACCCTGTTCCTTAATAAACCACTTAACTGTAAGTATGGTCTGTGAAGTAGAAGTAGAGAGTGCTGTGGGATGGAGGGCTGATGTCAGAATTGGTAAAAAGGTTGGAGCGTGGAGGCATGTCTGACCTCCACCTTGTAGGGATCTGCCTTGGGCTGATTTTGATTTGCATTATCCCCCCTGAAGTTAGACAAGGTCTGATGCTACCATTTTACATGGCTACAAACCAAGGAACACCTGGGGCCATCATGAGCTGGAAAAGACTAGGAACAGATTCTTCCTGAGGGCCTTCAGAGGGAGCAGCCCAGCCATCACCTTGATTTTGGACTTCTGGCCTTCACAACTGTGAAAGAATACATTTCTGTTGCTTTAAGCCACTAAATTCATGGTAATGTGTCAGGGCAGCCCTAGGAAACTAAAAGAGACTAACAACCAAATGTGATAAATCAACCTTGACTGCAACACATATTCAAAAAGGAAAAAACCTCAAAATCAAAAAACAAACAGCCAAAAAAAACATTTTGGGGAAAGCTGGGAAAATCT